GCCGCTGTCGCCGCCGCAGCGCGGGCGGCCGCGAGCCCGTAGCAGGGAGCCTGGCGCAGGGGCCGCCGAGCCCGCGCGCTCCTACCAGTCGCTGCGCTGCTCATAACCTGATTGTTATTTTTATTTATTTATTTTTTTCAGGAACGGTTGCTCCGAATCAGGTCTTCTCTTGAATCTGCAGCGACGCCCCCGGCGCGTGCACAAAGGCTCCGACGGCGGCCGGCGGGGACTGTCTAGCGCGCGGGAGCCGGCGCCAGAGGTCGCCTGTGCGCGCCCTAGCCAAGCCCCAGGCACCATGCCGCGGCGCCTGCAGCCGCGGGGCGCGGGCACAAAGGGCCCGCCGGCCACGACCGCTGCGGCTTCGGAGGCCGCCTCAAGTTCCCACCCCTCCGCCTCCGGGGACCCTCCAGCATCGGCCAAGCCGCTGCTGCGCTGGGACGAGGTGCCCGACGACTTCGTGGAGTGCTTCATCCTGTCGGGCTACCGGCGGCTGCCATGTACGGCGCAGGAGTGCCTAGCCTCGGTGCTGAAGCCTACCAACGAGACGCTCAACTTCTGGACGCACTTCATCCCGCTGCTGCTATTCCTGAGCAAGTTCTGCCGCCTGTTCTTCCTGAGCGGCCAGGACGTGCCCTTCCATCACCCGTGGCTGTTGCCGCTGTGGTGCTACGCGTCGGGCGTGCTGCTGACCTTCGCCATGAGCTGCACGGCGCACGTGTTCAGCTGCCTGTCGCTGCGCCTGCGCGCTGTCTTCTTCTACCTGGACTACGCGTCCATCAGCTACTACGGCTTCGGCAGCACAGTGGCCTATTACTACTACCTGCTGCCGGGCCTGAGCTTGTTGGACGCCAGAGTGATGACACCGTATGTGCAGCAGCGCCTGGGCTGGCACGTGGACTGCACGCGCCTCATCGCCGCCTACCGCGCGCTCGTGCTGCCGGTGGCCTTCGTGCTGGCTGTGGCCTGCACGGTGGCCTGCTGCAAGAGCCGCACAGACTGGTGCTCTTACCCATTCGCGCTTCGCACTTTTGTGTTCGTCATGCCCCTCAGCATGGCCTGCCCCATCATGCTCGAGAGCTGGCTCTTTGACCTGCGCGGCGAGAACCCCACGCTCTTTGTGCACTTCTATCGTCGCTACTTTTGGCTGGTGGTGGCCGCCTTCTTCAATGTGAGCAAGATCCCGGAGCGCATCCATCCAGGCCTCTTCGACATTATTGGCCACAGCCACCAGCTCTTCCACATATTCACTTTCCTTAGCATCTATGACCAGGTGTACTACGTGGAGGAGGGCCTGCGCCAATTCCTCAAGGCGCCGCCTGCGGCGCCCACCTTCTCTGGCACCGTGGGCTACATGCTGCTGCTGGTGATCTGTCTGGGGCTGGTCATCAAGAAGTTCCTAAACAAAACCGAATTCTGCAGTAAAAAGTGAACCTCCGCCTTGGAGGAGGCTGCTGGTTCGCCCACCTATTTGTTTGGAGTTTCTGTTGTTGCTATTGTTGGTTTGTTTTCAAGTTTTGTTGTGTTTCCTTCTTTGCTCAAGGAAGGTGCTGCAAAACCACAGGGAAAAAGTCGAATGCAACAAGGGGGTCTCAGTGCACTTGGGGGCTTTGGAAGAGGGAGATATGGTTCAAGCAAGAGGGAGAGTGCCACTGGTTCTTGCCCCTGGAAAAAAATTCGGGTGGTGTCTCTGACATCCAGGAGTTTTTCCAAGGGAGTGAGTAAAATCCCAAATAAAACCCCGAACAGTTTGGTTTTCCAGTCGTCTTCTGCGCCAGTGGTAATGAGGAGTAGTCCTGGTGAGGTCAGGTATGCAGTAAAGAGGGTAAGTAGACAAAATCCCCGAGTACTTCCATTTCGGTCTGAGGAATGCTTGGATTTGTAAAAAGAATGGAGCTTTGTAGGAAATGGGCACAAAGACACAAACCCAGGGCTTAACCTGCTAGAAAATGCATGGAATGTGAACACAAATTAATTATTTCAAAATATTTCTTAGATGTTATTTAAATAGTAATATATACAATGATTTTTCACAATTTATCAAAGCCTGTGATATGCACTGAATTTTCTTTGTTACATAGTTTTGAATTTTGCAGCCCTTCTGCATTGCATACACTTGAACTGGACATCAGGGCAAGCTGCTTGAGAATTCTCAACTACTTTTTTAAACAGTGTTTTCTGAAGGCTTATGTGTGTTATGATACAACTGTGAATTATTCTACCTTAGGGACTCTGGTTAAACTATTGTTGAGGAGCTCAGTGGTTTATATACATCCCAGGTTCCAATTTACTTTATTCCACAAAACCCATCCGATTTTTTATTTTGTTTTTAATTTTATTCTTTCTTTCTCTACTTATTTAAATTGCCACTGGAATAAATGTGCCTTTTGAAGCAATGCCCAAATGACTGGTCCTCAGACATAGTTTCATGCATGGAGAGAGCAGTAAGAATAAGCTTTTCTTCTTTACTGTAAATCAGGGTCTAACATTCCACCCAGGAGGGAAGGAAGATGGTGTTGGTTTTAAAATTTTGGTAGGACTGAAAGTAGCTTACCAGGAGAAAGGGAGCCAACCCACTAATGTGGCTGTGGTTCTTAATGCAGCCATCAGGGAAGGTGAGAGGACACTATTCTAGACCAATGCCATTTATCCTTGCTTAAAATTAAAAACATAATATTCAAGAATAACTGAGGCGGTTATATTAGGAAAGTCAGGAGCATATTACTTGAGTTGTAACTGAAGATATTGAGTTAAATAACATTACTTTTGCATAGTTAAACACTGGTCTCATTTGGATCCATACTATGGAAATGAATGGCAGTCACCCTAAATCACGGAAAAATTAGTGAACATGTTCCTGAGATCCTTTCTGACAACCACATTGGCCAATGTTATTTAAGACATTTCTCATAAGTGATAACCTGTACTTGAGATAACAACTCTAGATTAACACAAACCACTGAGGTGGCTTATTTAATTTAACTTACCACACTTCCTGACAAGTCCTTTTGGTTAAGAGCCAAATAAGTCATTGAGTGGGGAGTCTTGACTTCATAGTATAATTTAGATCAAGCACATAAGGTAGATGAACACTTACCTCAGCACTGGTAGGCTGGAACTCCTAAAAAGATTGTGTTTTTGTTTATGCTTTTAATCTCTACTGTATTTGTAAACAGAGAGGCTTGGCACAATTCCCTGGAGGAATCAGTATCTTTGTGCGTTAATTTGCACACAGAAGTTAACTTTTTATATGTCTATATTTAATTTGAAACCTCTTAATGGGATCGTAAATACACTTTGCACATTTGCTGATGGGTGTCAGTATCTAATCTTTTGCAAAGTGCAAGGAGATTCCCATTAGATGATAGAGGCTGAGAATTTGTGCCTAGCACGGATGTTATTCCTCAGCTGTAACTTAACTCAGTGCATGTATTCAAGAACAATCGTGGAAATCAGGATATTTCCATGTGCAAACTTATTTGCATGTCATTGTTGTCTCTTCTAGAGCCCTAAAGAATGTTGGTTTGGAAGCTAGAGAAATAGGTTGAGGAGTGTTTGGTAGCTTCCTTGTTAAATGGGACCTCCCCTTTCAGAAGGAACTTTCAAGGGACAGAATTCTAAAAAGGGTCCATGAGTTTGAGAACAAGAAATACACCCTGTATTTGTCATTTTAAATTTTTGTTGGAGATCTTCTGGGTCTACAAACAGAATTCTCTTCTCACCCTGTGTCTTTGTCCTTAAGCAGAGGCCACTTAAGGATAAAATTATACCCATATCATTTTCAAGTGATTACGATGCATGAGCCCAGGAAGGTGACACACTTTTCCCCTCAAAGTTTTCAAACCCACTATGCCCCAGAGAGAATGAGGACTCACTTTCCTTCCCTTTGTTGTTTCCTTCCTATACTTTCCTTTCTCCCATTCCATCTTAGTGTTTATATACCACATATAACATTGACAAAAGGACATTTTAGTTGAAAACAGTGGTTTGGCTTCACTTCCTATTTGCAAGTAGATGTGCTTATATATGCTATGTAGGACCAGGGATGATTTGTGAAACTATGTATGTTATTTGCTAAATTATATCAGATTTCTGCCCAGATAAATGGTGATATTTTAGATTCAGCATATATTTACTGAGTCTCCATTTGTATGGAACTAGCCAAGTATATTATTACCTGAATATGTCAGGGGTAATACGGCAACCAGAATGAAATATCTTTAATTTTTCACATTCTCCACTTTGCCACATCCATTAGGATTCAGTTTTACTTTATTGTGTTCACCTGCCTGAAATGTAGGACAAATGATAAATAAGAATGTACTCCATTATCTCTGTAAAACCTATTTTGGCAGTGGAATTTTGAAGCATATTATGTAATGCATTTTATTTTTACTTGTTAGTCATGATCTAGATGACATCTCAAGAAGCAGCGTCAGAGAGTCCTGCTTGGGAAATGAAGGTGTTTGACTTTGGAGTCTGTCACCCTGGGGGTTGCTCTGTGGGGTTGACTCAGCTGAGTTAGTTGGTTAAAGGGGGTTCCTTTCTTCCCTGTGCTTGGCAGCTACACCCTCAGGTGAAAGGGATGAGCTTCCCAGACAGAAGTGAGTTTTTTGACCATGTCATGACTGGCTTGTAAAAATAAGCCTGATCTTTTCCGCTGGCCATACACTTTCTATAAATAGCCCAGGAAGAAAGTATGGGGCTTCAGAGCTAACCAGAGTGGCCTTCACATGTTTCCATTCATAAATCCTGCCTGTAAGTGCTTGCAGTTAAAAACCATTTAGCCTAATTCATTATGCCACTCCAGGGTAATCATTTCTAAGAATGCAAAATTGGGGGGATGGAGGTGATTTTTATAATTTTTTTTGGATTTGGTGCTGAATCTGAGGGCTCACAGCAATAATAAACAGGGATTGTTACCTGCAAATCTCTTCACAACTCTACGTGGTTAATCTGCACAAAGCAAGAGTAAGAGACAGGTACAATAGGAACTATCTCCATTTCTAGGTTATACCAAGGTGACAGAATCAAGTTTTCAAACTGGCATTAGAAGTAGGGATGGTTGTGTGCTCACTTGTGAGTGTTCGCTAGTTTGCACGGCTCTGATGCCTAGTCAAGCACACAGACACCAACTGGAGATGTGTGTCTCCATAATTATATATCTATGACTAATAATATCTAATATCTATTTTATATAGAGAGCTATATAATTTATCATTGTAAAACAGCAAAGTGAGATGTAGTTATCCTTGAATTTACATTATAGAATCTTAAAAAAAGTGTACTTAGTTTTTATCATCTTGGATTGTTCTTCATCTGTTGAAGTCTTCCACTGCTGACTTCACTCTGTCAGTATCCTTTGAGTTGATTTCCACATTTGTCCATGTCATCCTGTTAGTGATCATTGAGCACCTACTGTATATAAGACATCGGGCAAGGATCCATCCATATTATTACAGCTGTTACCCCTTTGTCTGCTGGTGGAACAGAGATGGGAACACCAGAAAGCCCTCTGGCCAGGAACCAAATTCTGACCTTGGCCATAGCAGAATGTCTTAAGCCACTGAATTTGGTTCTCTTCTCCTTTCGGTTAGCATAGGAGCAATGCATGGAATCTTATTTCAGTTAACATGCTAACTTATCCAGAATCAATTTCTTCTTTCCTTCCTTCCTTCCTTCCTTCCCTCCTTCCTTCCTTCCTTCCTTTCTCTCTCTTTCTCCTTTCCTTCCTCCTTCCTCCCTCCCTCCCTCCTTCCCTCCCTTCTTTCCTTCCTTCCTTCCTTTTTCTGTCTGCTCCTAGGCCTATGTGAATTTTGTGGCTAAAAATAACTAAAAAATTTAATGTAGGATGCAGGTGAAGGGATAGCAGGCATATGTACATGGAGAGAGTTGAAAATTTTTATCATCACTACTAATTAATAGAAACACTACTAAGAACCACTTTTTGGGAGGTTAATAGTATTTATGTCATTATAAAGCAAGTTTCATCCAAAGTGCCTAGACTGTGATGTCATTAAATGTCTGAATTTCATAGATAGCATACTTATGTTTTTAAAAATAGGAGCTTCAATCTGCAAAGGTGAACTCATGTTCTTTAGCCTTTTTCTTCTTTTAAGGTCTTTGTGTTGTAATCTATAAAACATGTCTTAGAAAAAATTACTCTGGAGGAAATTATAAAAAAAAAATTATCAGATGTGAAAAAGACAGGAAGAAGGCATGAGCAGGGGAGAACAAGGAGGATTAGATTCAAACAGTTAGAATGAGACAGCAAGTTCAACTGTGGACAATTTCTCCTGAGTTTTAAATTCTGTCCCTAGAAAACCATGTGAACTGCCATGGTGTTAGCACTCAAATGGACAGGCAAGGAATTCTCTTTGGCAGCCTAACCACATCCTGTAGTTTTTGACCTGAGCACCAGTGCCAAGGTATATTTTGAGTAGTACTCTTACCCTTGGCTTAATGTCCTTAATTTGTTTCCATAAAATTAGGACATAAGGCAAAAAGGCATTAGGGGATAACACCAGCCAATTGTAAATCACCTTTCGAATCATTTCTTTGAAGGATTAACAATATCCTCTGACATAAATTGTCTAACGAAAAGCGAACAAGCCTAGACAGACTGAAAAAAGAAAGCATTCATTGGTTAAGCTGAGTGAGCACCATTGTATTCCAATGTGATAGGCCACACACCTTCCTGTTGAAGGTTTTATTCCTTCTTCATTACTATGAATTATTGTGAAATGGGTATCAATTCTTAATTACTCTTCCAAAAATCTAATACAAATTTTTGCTGTTGTTTCAAAAGAACAGATGTATTGCATTTCTGGTTTGTAGATTTCTAACCAGCTTGTAGGCATTTTTTTAGAATAGCTTAAGAGTCTGTGAGCAAGTTGCAGAATTAGAGTGTTTATTTATAGGTCAGGGGCCAAGAATGCAGGATGTGACTTGGGAAAGCTCTGAACACATCCTTACATGCAACAAAATGATCACTTATTTACTATCTAACTCAATGGAAAAGAGCCTTTTGTTTGAGCTTTGGAAAATATTCCCCAGTGTATTGTGCTTCTAAATGTGATGCATGATCCTCAATATTTTTTGTTCTTGAACAGTCTCTGAAAGCTATCCCAAATGTGGCATTCCTCAAGGAATATTTCTTGAATGTGCAAAAGTATTCTCGAATGTGTCAATGTGGCAGGCCACCTTTCTCATGCCTTACAGCTCCACCTAAAATATGCAATAAACACTCACGTAGGAGTGGAAGGGTCTTCAGATGGTTATATAACCATGCTGTAGAAATGGCCCTGCTCCTCATGGCTCACACACCACATTGAGAAAGGACATCATGTAAATAAACTTTTGTTTCTAGATGAGGGGAGTATGGGGACACATATTAATTTCATT